GTAGAGTCATTGGAAATGGAGATAGAATCTAAGTAAGTTGAAAAAGAGAAAGGAGGTAAAATGGCTCCCAAAAGAAACCGTGCATCGGACGGTAAGGCTGAGACTTTGCCAAATTAGCGTGTAAAATAGTCACATTGCAGGGCAATAGTAAACGGACGCCAAACTTTGCAGGAACAGACGGAAGCTGAACTCTGTAAACACCAACAAATGCGTCGCTTTAGTCTAAAAAGCACAGTCTCACAGCTTTATATCTATTATCGAGCGATGGCAGAATAGAATAAACCAAGAAAGCTAGAGCATCAAGGGTAGATCGCTTACGATAGTGGGAAAATTGATTACAACCAGTTTTGTTCAACTGTGGGGTCGAGTTGCGTAGAATTATTTTCTCAGATACCTTCAGGGCAGTTACAGGACGAAACTTGATGAAACATTTCTTGAAAATTGGTAAAATACTGACTGTTCTCCAGTAATCCGGTACTGAACATTGGGAAATAGAGCGTTTGAAGGGTTGGGTTTATGCATTCACCAGGTTTCTCGAGGGCTTTTGTTTGAAATCTTAATGGACTTTGATAAGGTCTCACAGTGATAATCTTTATATATAAATGCGTTCCATTTTTTGGCACATTTCTTTCAGAAAGAGAGAAGGAAGACGATCACATTTGATATATATTGTTTCCCATGGACAGCAAAAATCGATGCAGAAGTTGAGATAGGTAAGTGAGGACCAAAATTCGGTAGGTAGAGGTCGGAAAATGCGGCAGAATCTGTCCGGGTAACCATATTGTTCAGTATCAAATGATCTGAGAGGGGAAATGGTTGCCTTCGGTGCTTATGGTCTGGGTAACGGGCAAACCGTTTGCGGTTAAGGGAGCTGAAAGCCTTAGAGAAGTCTTAATAGTAACGTGGTCAGTGGACCGAAGAGGACAACGATAGGAAACTGAAAAATAGTTCCGGGTTGTTGAAAAAAATCGATCAACAGTTGCATTCAACCGTGCAGGGAAGGTTATTATTTTTTTAAACTGAGTATAGTTAAAAATCAGGTATCAGAGTGGTTAAAGTTACCCCATATCATTCAAAGAGGAACATCGATACAATCCACTAAAGCGATAAAGAATTTGAAAACTCGGAAAACTCATCTGGGGGCACATAGGGAAAATGTGTATGGTTGAGAGAATAAGTGGTCGACAGTTGCTTAGATATTTTGGCTTGCATTCAAGAATGGATAAGTTAATGTGAAGAGAAGATTGAAGAAAAAGAATAGTGGAACCGTGGCACCAAGCAACCTGAATATATGTGGTAATACTTCCACCACGCCTTTGAGACGGGACGGTACGATCAACGCGGTAGTCCGTGAACCCATGAAGTTTGACAACCTAGCTATCTTTCTTCTCGGATAGCCAGGTCTCCTGAAGGAAAATGACTCCAGGTGGAAGTATCCTCGACATCAAATGAGGTCACTAATATCTACAAGATTTCTAAGCAGCGAACGGACATCGCAGGTGAGGACGGTGGGGACGTATACCTGAGAGATATGTTTCCTATGTGCAGACACTTTCCAACCACTTTTTTGTCGGAAATCATCCAACGTTTAGGTTACTACAAGTAACCTTCCTAAAGACTGAATTCGAAGGAAATGGATCTGGGATTACTGGTTCGGCTATGAGCTGGTCATGCAAAAAGTTACCCGCGATATCGAAACATCGACAGACTACCAACGTTTCTAAAGACGCTGTGCGTTTGGGCATCATATATTTGAATCCAGCCAACGTTTTTCAAATAGGATAAAAACAAGAACACAATCACTAACAAATGGGATTTAGTTCAGTTTAAATTTTATACAGCCATTAACCATGCAATAACCGTGGGACGGTTTTGGTCGGTGGGTGATCGAACGAAGCCAAGAGGTGCACAATCAGCCGACCCAGAGAGAATGAGCTTTGTTTAACCTGTACCAATTGGCCTTTCAGGCATGCATTAATCTGGGACGCCGAGAAGCCATCCTGCATAGCTCGCTAAGTCCTGTAGAAACACAAACTGTCAAACCAACAGTGGGCAAATCAGTTTACCAATTGTATGCTATAANAAGAACAAACGAAAACATGACAGCAGTGACCAACAGATACAATAGCTACCAAATAACAAAGGTATTCTAAGCGAAGTGGCTATCGTTCTAACATTCTGGAAATGAATTTCCTACATTGGATCCCCTTTATCCAATTCGCTAGTACCGAAAGAAGACAAATACTGCGAAATGTTACGTTGTAGCGACTGAAGAGATTAAAGGAAATGTTAACATCTCACGGTATTTGTCTTCTTTAGGTTCTAACGAATTTTCTACAGTTCGACCGATGCAAACATTTGAGTTAATGCAAAAAACAAATTTCAGGTATATATGAACAAATTGCCAAGGGGGCACATCGTGACAGGATAATCATTCTTGTGTCTTAGCTCACTCATATTCTTTATTAGCAAAAGCAATTTGAATTCGTTACTTTGATCAATCTGGTATTGTTGTAAGCGTAGGTCACCCAATCGAAGAGGACCAAGATTAAGAATGCCTGCCGGGAGTGTATTACATATCCCTACATGTATGTTGATCCATGTTGGAGATGGATTCTGTTACTCCGTCAGGCATTAGCGAGTCCCTAAATTCAACAAAGAACTTACTCGTATAAAATCCCTTTGGCACCCGTCTCGCTTTGCACATAGAGATAAGCCGAACGTAATGGGTCATGAACAAGGGCATTGAATCCCTCGCCGCCACTGATGAAAGTCCCACCATGTCCGGGTACGGCTGAGTGCCCTCGCCAGCCACTAGATTCGTACAACCGTCCAGAGTAAGTGCATTCAGGTGTAAAAAGGGAAATGGATTAAATGATGATATCGTTCAACAAATTTTCGCAATGTATGTTGGATTAACACCTGAGGTTTTGACAAAACAATTCGCTAGAATGAAAGCTTTCGTTTGACCTGTGGCGCCATTGGTTCTAACAAGCCGGCCGAAAACAGCGTTTCACTGTAGGACATACATACTCACCCATCGTTCCACAATTGTCTGAAAAGGTTGGCGAAGATGAGTTGCGATACAGATAACAAAGAAAAATAGTGTAATAACCGAATTGTTTATGTCAATCAGTGCGATCAAAACATTGGACAAAGATTGAAACTTTCAGCATTTAAGTCGGATAAATACTAATCTAATGTGAGAGCCGACCTTGAAGGCAGTGAATATGATACATTTAGAAATCCCGTATGTGCCAGATTCCGCTTAACAAAGCAGCAGGTGATAATCAATGCTAACGCAACACACAATTTCATGCATGCTAGTACAGCTGCCTATCAGAACCCGATGTTTCGGAGCCACCATTTAGCGTGGACAGCCAACTCCGTATAGCGTGCACTTCTTAACTATTACCCATTATACAATAGTCATTGCGATGATGGAGTTTACTCATTTACTGCACATCATGGTTGTTATGTGATAGAAAAGCATATAACTGTTGAATGTGTAATCACGTGAGCCCATCGGATTTTCCGGATTGTTTTAACCGTGTTTGTATGCATGCGCTTTTCTATTAGGCATTTGTACCTTGTGATGATAGCGTGCTTTCTATGGTAATACAACAGTGCATTTCATTGGAGGATGGACTGAGTTCTTACTGTGATTCCGGGTGTTCGATAAAAGCTGATCAAATTCAATTTTTCTTATTACACACATTTTGTGTGGTGAACAACAGACGGGCAAACCCCACAGTCACCAAGACCTATTGCCCCGTCATGTAGATCAGTAGCCTAAGCCCAGGGACTTGCAATGGCGAACTATATAAGGCCCCGATAGGTTAGGTGTGGTATTGAACGGGACGACAGCAAAGCTGCCTACCACCAAAGGTAGGTGACGGTGGCGGGGCTCGAACCTCAGACCAAAGCAT